CCCTTGTGGTCTCTTCCAACTCTATGATTCTATGATTCTATGACCTCTGTAATCTGAAAAATCCACTCTTCTCTTTCCTGATGAAATTGAAGAACAATGGGAACATAATGCAGTAGAAGCAACAGAGGATTTTCATGCACTTCTCAAAAGAGAGTCTGAGAATGTGATGAAATATTAAGACATCCTCTTTCTATTCTTTATTGTTCTCTGTTGATCACATTCATACCTGAGTTGGAAAGTAAAATGTCAACATTATTGGTGCAAAACACTAATAAAAAACTTCAGGTTAGAGTAAATGCTGTGGAAGTTCATCCTCAACCTCTTGAGGTTGGGAAGAAAGCAGATGTAGGCAGCCCTGTTTTTTGCCATTATGGAAGGCTTATTATGGGAGAGCCAAAGTTAGCCAGAGGATTATTATCTATAGAAAATCAGGTTACTTCTTTCCCCCTCACTTGACAGTTAAACTGTTCTTGCCCATTTATTGTCCAATTTTTGAAGAAGACTTCTGTTAAGAACGATTTGCTGTGGGACATGTAAGAACTCAGGCAGTTAACTTGGAGCAGAACAAAAATGCATGCTATTTCCTAATTTCACTAAAAAGATCCCTGATTAAGAGGTGGACTTTTTCTAATGCCTGTAAACTGAGAAAGGAAAAAAAAATTAGACTGTTTCATGTTTTCCTGCCACCTGCTGATTATACCAGTTTAACTGTCTTCGGACTCATTCCCACTCACACTTAACCCAGTTTGTGATTCGCTTTCGCTCCAGGTTGGTGAATCGATTCAAGTCGATGCGTCGTTCCAACTATGGAAGCGGGTCTTTTCTTTATTCACTTCTTTTTTTGCCACCACTGCCGTTCCCACTAGTTTGTGCCTCTTCAAAATGTCTGTCAATCAGTGCCTGTCAAAATGCCTTCAAAATGCCTGTCAAAATGCCTGTCAATCATCATTGGTGACACAAATGGCAACACATTCAAGAAAACACTGTAGGGAGTCATGGGTGCTGTGTCCAGAATTCCTCCATGGATGTCATGGAGTACACTCCCCCGGGATGCATACGTCCATAGGTGTCATGGAGGACTCTCCTCTGGGATGCATGCAACTTTTTAAATTTTTTTACTCTGGGGACTGGGGTATCTATGGAAGGTGATTAAGAAACACCCTCCTCACTCACAGTGACCGTACCAGGTGACACCAAGCATAGTGATGCCACCGGTAACAATGATTTTCTTGACAGTGACATACTGGTCTCACATCACTATTTCTTTGTAAAGATACATGGAGGCTCAATATAG